TTCCAGCTCTGTGTGCTTATCCATGGTTTACTGTTCTTCTTTCTTTCTCCAATCACCTCTCTCGCAGTATTTATTGTAGCAACTCTTTACATACTCCCATTTCATTTCCAGCTCTTGCTTTTCATCTTCTAACTGCTCATCTGTGTCATTAACTTTTTTTTTACATTATATCTATTTGTGTGAATGCAAATTTTGATTGTATGGAAAATAAATCCTACAGAACAAAACGATTGTACATTTAATTTTTTTTTTTTTTTTTTTTTTTTTGTGGGGGGATGGTGGTTTCTTTAGGATAGAAATATTTGCCTTTCGTCCGGTCCGCTTTTGATTTGGTAATTCTCAATTTTGTGTTCCCCATATATAAAAAATAAATAAAATTCGAAACATCTCAAGTGTATTCTGCGTTGTTGAATAGAAATGTTTTTAGCTATCATTGCCGTTATCTTATCATCATCATCGGTTTCATCATCACCATCGTCATCATCATCATTATTCTATAGTTATTACTACTAAAACAGTAGTAGTATTAAACAAAACTTTATAAACGCTTGCAAAACATCACATCAAACTGAACCATATCACAAAGACATGGCCTGGGATTTATAGATTTAAGTTCATACTTTTTTAAGTAAATTGAATTGATTTATTTAAGTAAATTGATAATTCCGCCCCTTGAGCGGTAGCCGTTATAAACCCGAATATGATATTTTTTGTATTATTGTGTATATAATAAGTGAAAAATTGATAAATCTGATTAATATAAACGGTTTGAAGAATCATACAATGAACGTTTATTAAAGCTGAAAATGAAGTCGGCTCAGAACCAACGTAATATTTCCACATTTCTTTTTGTTTGCAAGCTATTGTTGCAAAATAATGAGTACTTTAATAGCCTATTGAGTGTAAATCTACGATACTGCGAAAAATCTCATTTAAGAGACTGAAATCCAGAACTGACAGCGAAAAATATTGTATTCCAACAATATTCTGTAGGATATGGGACTCTTTACAGATGGAAGTTAAAGACGCACTAATTTAAAGAGTTTTAACATATTTCGAAAAGAAGTTAAAAACTAGTTTTTAGATAATTACTCAATAGAGGCCATGCTATTCGATGAAAATTTATTGCGACTGACACAATTAGAAATTGTGCAGCACTTAAATCAACACCATTATTATAGGCCTATGTATAACATGTGCTGATAAATAATTATGTATTTTAGAGAAGTATCGGTATTTTTTTTTTTTAGCGATCCACCAGGAAAGAATGCTATTGGCTAACAAGAACAAGTTCTTATGCGGAAGGCTGCGACTCCGATGGCTAGGGGAATGGCTCCCCCTGGATACGTCCCTGTTACTAGAGTTGATTACTAGTTTTGGCATATCTCGTCTGTGGCCCATTTCCCTTTCAATGGTCCCCATCCTACCATAGATCGTCACCAAAATTTAATAGATTCTTCACCGAACCACATAACAAACTATTCTTGACAGTTTCGTTTCGAACCTTTGTTGTTTTTTTTTGGAGATATTAAGGTCTGAGACATTAGCATTTTAAATGACCCACACAAATTCATTCCCCAATCAGGGTCATCACCAAAGTTAAATAACTTCTTCCTTGTAACTTGGTTTAGCTTATCGGAAAGTTTCATTCAGATCTGGTAATTCGCTCTTGTGACATGTGTGTGGGGTGTTTCCTTTAAAATGGTCCTCATATGCACACCCCATTCCGAATAGTAATAAATCCTTGGTGTATTATGGTCTATGATTGGACAAAATTTGAAACAGATTCAACCGTAGAAAGTGACAGTGTCGGGCGAAGAAACAGTGAAAAAATATAGGAAAACACCAACAATGTTTTTCTCTGCTAATGAAATAAATAACAATAGTATTGATTGGCTTTAATTTTTTTTCCAGTTTTTTTCTCTATGATATTAATATCAAACATAAACAAAAATACTGTAATGCTATAGAATTACAACATTCGGGTCAACATGGATAGCCAGTAAATACACGATAAACCATGTATTAAAAGAGAAATCAATATATAACTCGAAAAGATCTTTTCAGTTTCTCGGGACATGGGACAGGAAACAAAAGTACAAAATGCTAGTTAACGTTGAGAGACCATACAATTTTAAACACAAAATTTGCATAAATAAGCCACACATAAATCAATTTTTAAATGCATTTTATCATCAATGGGCAAGACAGGCTCAGTTTCTTTTCATAAAAGACAATAGGCGTATTTTCTTAATTCGACATTTTCATCAACACAAAATAAATTAAACCTCCCAAAATCAAACACTTAGGTAAGATAAGCGATCATTTTTTTAATAGTGTGCTCAAATTGAAATACAGTAGTATGCTCTTTAATTGAAATAACGTCGCAACAGTAAGAATAGGTAGTTTTCGCCGTACGACGTTAGCATTAACGTTAACGGATGACGTCATAATTAAATCATTTTGCGTTGCTGAGTACGTTTTCCATGAACTTAAGTGTTCGACGTACGTTAATTACGGGTTTGCACATGCCTATTTCAATTTGTTTAAAAAAGGAAGGATCAATCGCGTTGCATGGCGGGTACTGACGTTAAAGTTAAGGTTAATGTTCTGCGGTGAAAACTACCTAGTTATCTAGTGTGATTTCAAGTTGAGGTAATGAAGTCGTATGCTACCGAATTAAAACATTGTGCAATCAATTTGAAACACTGTGCTACCCATTTGAAATATGTGTTACCCATTTTAAATACTGTGCTACCCATTCGAAACACAGTGCTACCTATTTAAAACACCGTGCATACCAATTTTAAAGAATGTGCTACCAATTGGAAACATTGTGCTCCCATTTGAAACACAGTGATATCTGTTTAAACACTGTGCTATACATTTGAAACATCGTGATACCCATTTGGTACACTGTGCTACCCATTTGTAACGAGTGCTCTCAATTTAAACAGTGTGCTATCCATTTGTATCATTGTGTTATTCTTTTGAAGCATTGTGCTACCTATTTGACACGAACGTTATCCATTAGAAACGTGTGCTACCCATTTGAAACACTGAGTGCTATTTGATACATTGTGCTGTCCTTTGGAAACAATGTGCTACTCCTTTAAAACAGTTCGCTACCCACCACTTGAAACACTTTCCATTTGAAACATTGTGATATCCATTCGAAACAGAGAGCTATCCACCTGAAACAGTATGCTACCTATTTAAAAATTGTGCCTTTAAAACAGTGCGCTACTACCCACCACTTGAAACACTACTCATTTGAAACAATGTGCTCCTCATTTGAAATAATCAGGGGATCCAACAGTAGGCTGTTTTGCCACTAAATTTACCTCACTTTGGAAACCATAACTAATAAACTGATAATGTTCAAGTTAAAATGAAGCGTAAGTTACGGCCTTATACAATTTTGACAGTATGCTTACTAATCATCTTTAATTATCTGTTGAATACAATATTTGGCTTATTCAATTGGTTGGCGATATTGCAGACAAGAAAATTTTGCCGAAGTGTAAAAAATACTTTAATATATGTGTCGAGAAATAAAACTACATATTCCTGGACAAGACAAGAGTTGATTGAGGACAAATTCTCCCCTCACCATCCAATGAATATTTATATTCGTTCGGATTTTTTGCAATTCTGTGTATATACACACGCATTTAAATTATCATATAGTGATCTGTTGGCGGGGGAGGGGTGGTGCTGACCAGCAATCATGTGCAGGCGATTTGCAAAAAAAAAAAAGATAGTGCAAACCTTAAAAATATAAGATATTTTAGTTGATTTTGTTGAAAACCCTACATTTGAAATCTTACAATTTTTTTTTGTTTCGTTATACGAACACATTTTATTTGATAAAAAACACAGAGGCTAAAATTGCTTAAAAACAGAAATAGTACGAATAAGAACAGAATAAGTACAAATTGAGGCTGAGGTAAAATATCAACTGAACTTTTTATGTTTAAAAAACAGAAAAACCAACAAATCACAATAATAATAATAATTATTATTATTATTAATATTATTATTATTATTATTATTATTATTATTATTATTATTATTATTATTATTATTATTATAAACAGACCTTAAGGGTCCCTTTGTGTCTGTTCTACCCGGTAAGCTGGTACCAGTAACTCTCGTCGTCCACCGCAGGGGCTGACTGTTCCAGTACACCGGAGTATCCCCCTACTCATCTTGAAGGATGTACTGGATTCTTTATAGTGCACATGAGCCATTTCACGGTTTATAATCCTTATCCCAGAAGACTTGTTCTACCACCAGAACCGTAGGCGAGCGTGCCGTTCGAACCAGCGCCGATATTATGGCTATCGCTTGCGACGCCCCTTCTAACCGCTCGGCCATTCGACTCGCCAGATTGTAAAAAGAAAATGTATAAAATTGTCAATCAAGTTCTCTTCAATGGTTATCCATCACCCTTTTTTTTAAAATGTAAATACAGGATGTCGCCAAGCGAACACTCTCACCATACTTATTTCTTTTATGCAAAGAGGTATTACTAGCAAACATAAGATCAATTGAAAAGATGCTGCTGAGGCTACTTTACACCTATACGGATCTGAAGGGAATATGGTGGAGTTATTTAATCAAGTGGACTGATGTCATAAGATCTCTTTGTTAAATAAGGTTAATTATCAATAAACCATGTGCTGTCTGGATTGGAAGTAGGAATAAATGTCAAATAAACTTGTGCGAAGAAAAGGG